TCCCACCCACAACCCTCCCCTTTCCCGCTCCCGCTCCCCTTCCATTCACATCAAGATTCATTTTCAATTCTCTTTATATACAGAAGATCAGTTTAGCATATATTAAGTAAAGATTTCAACAGTTTGCACCCACATAGAAACACCAAGTGAAAAATACTGTTTGAGTACTAGTTATAGCATTAAATCACAATGTACAGCACATTAAGGACACAGATCCTACATGAGGAGTACGTGCACTGTGACTCCTGTTGTTGACTTAACAAATTGACAGTCTTGTTTATGGCATCAGTAATCACCCTAGGCTCTTGTCATGTCTGCACTTTAAAAATGGTATGTGAAGGATTTTTACCTTTTTGCGTTCCTTCACTTTTACCACTCTGATATGCTTTGTTCATAGTTACTACATTTAACACACTATCCTCAGTAGAGAGTGTGGAGTAACCTTGCTCCCAACATAAGCCTTTACCTCAAAATCTCACTATCAATGCAGGTGTAATAGCCATAATTATTTCAGAAGACTGGACATTCCGTTCAACTCCATGAAAAATAAATACAGTTTTGAAATGATACAACTAAATCACAAGTATTTCAGTATATTTCTATATGTGAGAAATAGTAGAATGGAGAAAAAATTGAATTGATACATTTTACTACTTCTTAGAAGCTGTGTAAAAAATATGGTAGTGTGGTTGTGATTTCAAACAGGTTCTGAAAATTCCACTGCAATTATCCAGTTGATGTTTCCTTCCCCCTCCTCATATTTGGCCATAGGACACATAGCAACAATATAGTAATGGCTCATTTTGACATGACTGTGCTTAGACAATAATATGAATAACATGTTGAGTTTTACCCCCCCATAAGGTATACACATGAAATCAATTTAATTTCCAGCAAGACTCAGTGATTCTCCCTGAAGACTTTGCAATCTGATCCTTGATAACACCATGTCATACAACTAGAGAACTGTTTTAGGGTAGGAATAGGAATGTGAACAGGGCCACACTGATTTTGCCACTGAGGTGTCTAGAAGCAGAGGCCTAACATGATTTCCTTCACATCTTCTGCTTGGCTTGTGTTGTGGCTGTAAGAACTAGCTCCACTAATGTGCAGTGCCTCAGGATCCAGAAAACCACAGAAAAGACAAATGACCCAAGTGTTTGTTAGTGTGGTTTGCATCAGCCCAAGGTGCCCTGAGTCTACCAAACTCCCAGAGCCAGCCAGTGTTCAAGTGGTTCTGCTTTCCACTTACTGGGTCCACTCCGTGGAATACTCAGTGAACACTCCTTACTTCCATGGAAGTCTACTGGACACTGATCACACAGTAAAGATATTACTAGAATGAAGCTCTCTTTTCATTGCTCTATCTTCAGTAGTAATTGTTTCTGGAACAAACAATAGCTCAATAAATATTAAAAATGAGTGAGCTTCACTGGCTTATAATGAAGATAGCTTCTTGAGTGCATTTCCTAAACCAGTTGCTATTACAAAGGTTCATGGTCTATATAATGAGACCAGTGCAAACAACATTAGCAAGCATCTATAACAAGTTCCCTACATGCCATCATAAAGAAAATGAAAACCTGAGAAAGTTTAGGGTTCAATTTAATGATATTAACATTATTCATCAACACCATAAGTAGACTGATCTTCCATGGCTCCACTTAGGAAGCTCATCCATTGCTCTGAAAGGCAAAGACCTGAAATTGTATTCTATCTAAATTATGATTGTTTCCTTTCTGTGGGGATTGTATGTGTGCCAGCCAGTGGGTTGTGCAGAATAATGTGTAGGTAAGAATTGGGTATCTGGTAACCTATGCTTACAACTGGAAGAGTTGAATCTATAAAGACATGAAGAGTGAGGCTGTAATGATAGTTTTCTCCTTAGGAACCCACACAGCACAAGTCAGAAGGCCTACTCCTCCCTTTCCATGTGCATGTGACTGCATGGATGAGTGTGGGTACTTATGTTATTTGATTCTAAA